TTCGCCTGGCGTCTCGCACATAGAGCTCGTGTGGGAAGTGCCCATTGTCAGGGAACTCGTCGCGGCAGTATCCAAAGCGTGACCACTCTTTGCGAATCGGTTCCTGCTGCTGTCAGCAACATATCTCCAGGAGGACAGCCAAACCTACCGGGACGGCCTCGTCCGTTGCCAGGAACCAGAAGAATCCCCGTGTGAAGTCCGCTGTATCCTTCAATATCCTCTTCCGCCCTTCGTACCGCGCCACAGGCCACTCGTCGTTCATCCCAAGCAAGTCCGTCGACAACGCTCCCTCGCTTCCGATCAAGTCCGTCTTTCCTCCTGACAATCTCTTCTTTGGCACATACATCTCTCCTCCAGCTCTCAAGAACCGTCGATGCAGTTCAAACCATGCAGGATCATACCCCTCTGGCTCGGTGAAGGGCACGCGGTTTTCTGGGTCATCGGTCAGCGGCATGCGGTACGAGTACGATTGAAGATGCAAGTCTCCGTCACCGGGGTTGCCAAAGGCTTCTGGGGAGATGCCGTAGAGCAGGCCGCTAGAGGGGTCGCCGGGTGTGGTGTACGGGTCGATGTCGACATCGATTTGGCGGTAGAGTGTTTCCGCGCGGACGCCGGCCAGGGATTCGCTGTACGTCGCTGAGGATTCGCGACCGTGGGTCCAAGATATCGAGGCGGCGGCGAGAAGGTCGCCCTCATAGCTTGCCTCGACGAAGATCTGGGTCTGTGAGAAGAACGACTTTGAGCATCTGAGGGTGGACTTACCTTTCCGGTTATCGCCTGGCCATTCTCGAGCCGAATTGCTCGAATGGTCGTTTCATCCTTCTCAACGGCATCTTTCTCGACGAGCCTCGACTGGTGCCTATTAGCAAGCACTTTTGACGGAACCGCTTCACCAACAGCTCACCTTGACGATGGTAATCGACGGGTTCTCAGCCAGCCAGTCCTTGATCACCTGCTCCGCAACCCTGGCCTCAAACCTCCAGACATCAGGATCCTTGAGCTTCTTCTCGACAACCTTGTTCAGCCTGTCCAGGCGGCCATAGTGACGACTGATCCTCTGGTGAAGCTCGAGATTCAGACCACCCAACGTGGTGCTGTTCTGGAACTCGGCCTGGTTGTCGATATCTGTGGCTCCAAGGCCATTAATCTGGATGCCACCTGGTGATGTGGTCAGTCTAACCCGCGAGGTCTGATGGAATGAAGGGCGATGATACCGATGTGTTCCTGCGGCGAGACCAACGCGACTGACCTCCCGAGCCGTGAGGCTTGGATGGCCGTCGCGACGGCGCCGGACGTCGAGCCGTATACTACAATGTCGAATGTCCCAGTCTGCGACATGGTTGGGCGTGGCGCACGAACGAGGTTCAGGAATGAGGCAATCATCGAGTGATGAGAGCAACTAGGACGCTCGACAGCAATGGCACCTAGACAGGTGTCGAATCTCGCTGCCGCCTGATTCGTCGCAATTGCGCGTATAACTTACTGGAAAAGGTGTATCTCAAAGTTGACTCAGATGCCATGCGTCGCCGCGGATAGGTGGTCGTCGTTCCGAGGTCGGGCGCGTGCGATTCCCTGTTAGAGTTCCCTGTTCCCCTCGCATCTGACGCAGCGGGAGGATTGGCGTCATACGCTGCGATGATGAATGTTTATCCACCCTCGTTTGACTCACATCGACAATGCAGCCAATGCTTGAGCAAAATGCCTGCACTGCTAACTATGGATCCTGCATCTGTCCTTCTTTTGATTGCCATTTCTACAGACTCTGATCCCGCGCCTGGCCCATGGGCGTTCTTGAGCATTCGCCGGAGGAGGGGCACAAGCGGGGCCGACCCCGCATCCCGGATTTTGCAGGCGGAGAACCGGGGGCACCACCGGATTTTGAGATCACGTTTGAGGCTCACCATAAGTGACAGGCTTCACAAGTATTTAGGATGTGAGGCTAGGTAACCAAAGATCTGGGTTGATAAATATGAATCAAATAGGGAAGCGCCTATTCAGGCAAACAGAAGCGCCGTCAAGCGACACAGTCAACGGCTGCTGGGTGAAACAGCGGAAGCGGGGAGACTCCGACGAAGGATTTCATTATGGGTCTTGACCAACTCGCGTTCCGCCCTGGACAGTGTTGCGATCCATAATGTTGCCGTTCTTGAATGAACATGGCAATTCAGACTCTGCTGCGTAGTGGGGTTTCTTTCGGTCTTTCGGGGGATTGAGATGCGAAATCTCTAATGCACATGAAGACGAGCCGCATGCTGATCAAAAGCAAAGCTCATACACGGCGGCTCTGGATGATGATTTTGGCTGAATAGAGCCGAGGTCGAATGCTGCACAAAATACCGGCAGACCTTTGGCTAGCCTTAGAAGCAGGCATGTCTAGGACCGAGGAAGTTACCCGCGCAGATGTCCAGGTCCGCGGTAGTCTTTCTGGAGTCGGACAGGTCCCGACGTGTCTTTCTGACTATTACACCCGCCTTAAACCCCGGGTTTAGGAAGTTGGCAGGAATGTCGGTCAGATAATCTTCGCTTCCATGCTTTCGCTCCCCCACAGAACCCACCCCCGAACCCCAAGTTCTCTACTGCGGGGGAGAGTGGTGAAAGGCGGAAAACGGTCTGTCGCTGGGGTTCCGGTCATCGGCCCATTCGTGAAAGCTCGGCTGGGGGTTGGGGGCCGGTTGTTTTGATGGCTCAAAAGGCGTTGCCTCCCAGATGTTGCAGTGAAATTTGAACAAGTTTTGATATTCAACCCTGGTCCCTTAGAAACCATTCAACCCGCGTTATCTCGATCACCAAAGATGGGCCGCGGCATCTTCGCAGGCAAGGCGGCCTTCGCCAACGCCACTCCCCGCCTGATGCTCTACTGCCTCATCTATGCCATGGGAAGCGTCTTCTTCGGCTAGTGAGTCTCGCTTTTATACTTCTCCCCCTAGATGTCAAGTTCTGATATGTGTCTGCGACCAGCGACGGCGCCTCATTCGGCGGAGTGCAGGCCATGACGCCCTTCATGAACAAGTTCGGTTCTTATAGCGCGGCCAAGAAGGCGTATTACCTCCCCAGCCGGACGGCGAGCTTGATGAACAGTCTGCCGCTGCTGGGCAAGTTCACGGGGACGGTGGTCGTGGGACCGATTATTGAGAGGATCGGGCATAGGAGGGCGATGGCGGTGACGTGTTTGGTGCAGATTGTGGGAGCCATCAGTGAGATTTGCATCCGTTTGAGAGTGATGGGAGAAAGAGGCTGACGAGGATGAAGTCCAGGTTACGAGTAACCACGCCGCGCAATTCGTCACGGGCCGGTTTTTGGTGTACACAGCCGTCGGCCTGGTCGAGAACGTGAGCCGAACCTCACGGAATACCTTAGTGTGTGCTCGATACTAACGAACATCGATGCCAGGTCGTCCCAACGTACCAATCCGAAATCGCCCCGGCCCCCCTGCGCGGCTTCTTCGTCGGCTCGATCCAGCTCTGCCTGACCTTCGGCTCGCTCATCGCCGGCATCGTCAACGAGTCCATGTCCCGCCGGACGGACAGCTCAGGCTGGCAGATCGCGACGGCGATCCAGGCGCTGCCCGCCGTGCTCATCATGTGCGGGCTGTGGTTCACGCCCAACTCGCCGCGGTGGCTCGTCTTCAACGACCGGTCGGACGAGGCCATCGCTGTCCTGAGGAAGGTCAGGAGGCAGGAGGATGTGGATAACGGCAGGCCTGAGATGGAGATTGCGGCGATGAGGGAGGAGGGCCAGATCGGCAAGCGCGAGAAGGGGCCTTGGAGGGATCTGTTTAGTGAGAAGAATCGGAGAAGGACTGGGTAAGTCGCGCGGTGATGGTTTGATTTGTTGGGAGAGGATGTGCTGATCACCGGGGGGTACAGGATCGCATGCTCCATCATGGCTCTTCAGCAGCTCACCGGCGTAACCTTCTCAAGCTCCTACGGCCCGACATTCTACAGATCTGTGGGCTTGGCAGACAAGGCCTTCGTCTACGCCGTAATCCCTCCTCACCCACGTCAAGTCCGTCTCATCACTAATCGTCAATGATAGGTCGTCAACAACGCAACCTCTGTGGTCACGGCGATGATGGCCATGGTCTTCCTCGACATGTTCGGCCGCCGCACCCTCGTCTTCCACGGCGGCTGGTCCCAAGGCGCCTTCCTGATCGCCATAGGCGCGCTTGGTCGCAAGGCCAGCCCCAACGTCCACGAGAGCAACGGCATCGTTGCAGGGATGCAGCTGTATACGTGTATTCTCCACATGACGCTGGGCCCGGGTGCATACATCACCGCCGCGGAGGTGGGGACGCAGACTTTGCGAGAGAAGACGATGGCTTTGTCGGTAAGTTCTCCAATCTTCATGACGACCCGTGACTCCCGGGGAGATGGTTGCTGACTTGGTCCTCAGACGGCGCTGAATGTTGTCGTCGGGTTCATCGTCGTCTTCGTCACGCCGTATCTTCTCGCGGAGATCGGTGCCGGGTTGGGGTACATCTGGAGCGGATTCGCCTTCTTGACGTCGGTTTGGGCGTGGTTCTGCATGCCTGAGCTCAAGGTAAGCTTATTTCGAGAAAGGATTGGAGAAAGTTACGGGACAGCGTTTGGCTAACAAGACGGACGATAGGGCCGCAACCTCGAGGAAATTGACCAGCTGTTCGAGGCCAATATTCCTGCTTGGCAGTTCCACAAGTTCCAGACAGACGGGCTCAGCCATGATCTGGCTGTGTTGGAGGGCGGCAAGGCTGATGTGAAGGTCGTAGAGCAGTTTGAGGACGCTGAACGGGGGGCTCCATCTGATACTCAGACTCGAACTTGAAAAGATGGGTGTTGGAATAGCGGAAGTCTCTGGCGTTGAGAAATGTAAGCTTCCAAGTCTTGAATCACTTGGCTTAGAAATGCTTCTAGTGTCAAACGTTTGTTCTGGGCCAAATCTTAAACAAGTTTGATGATATTGCCTACCTATGAGTACACACGCGATCGTTATTACATACAAAAACGTGTAACGGCACTTGCGTCTTAGGCGTGGCCTACATGAACAACTATCTTCCCCGTCGTCCGTCCCAGCCTGAGCTTCGCGTACGCTTTCGGCGCGTCCGCCCACTCAAACTTCTCATCAATCAACACTTTCACCTTTCCCTCGACTGTCCATCGACCAATTTGTTCCAGATCCTCTCGACTAGGGCTGACTCTCACCGTCTGGAACCGTCTCTTCCCACCGCCCAGAAATCTCGGCAGCATGTTCCTGCGCAGCATGCTGACCATGGATTTCTGCATGGCAACCTGGACGAAGACGCCGTCGGGTTTGAGGAAATGTGCGCAGCTCTCGTACAGACACTCCGGGCTGCCGACGTTGTCGATTGCTACGTCAAAGATGGGCCCCTTTGCCTTTAGGTCGCTCAGGACATCTGCCGTTCGATAATTAATCACCTCATCCGCTCCAAGCCTCTTGCAAAGGTCGACATTTGCCGTGGAACATGTCGCAACGACATACGCACCAGCGGCCTTGGCGAACTGAATTGTGAAGGAGCCAACGCCGCCGCTACCGCCGTTGATGAATACCTTCGAGCCAGGTTGCAAGCGATCTTTGGGGAGTGATTGGAATGCCGTCAACCCGGCTGTTCCCAAAGCAGCCGCATCGTCGGGATCAACACCTTCAGGAACAGGCGCGATGTGAGAGCACGGAGCGATCATAAGCTGGCCCAGGCTGCCAAACTTGGGCAGCTTGGTCCCGATGCTCAGAGCACCGAAAACGAGCTGGCCCTCGGCAAAGTCGTCGGCGCCATTTTTGGCCTTGATTCGACCGCAGAAGTCCAGACCTGGACTACTCGCGGGCTGGATCATGAACTTTCCGAAGACAGGGATCTCGGGGAGCTTGTACTCGACGGGGTTGATGCCGGCTGTGATGACTTCGATGAGGACATGATCTTTGGGGAGAGACGATGCGTCTGGTGGAGTGGTGATTTTGTTGAGTGATAGGGAGTTCTCGAGGGTTTTGGTGATGGTGGTGTATTGCCAGGCTTCCATTTTGCTGGTAATTGGAGACCGAGTTGCAGTGAAGCGCGTGAGATTGTGGCGGCAGTAATAGGGGACCTCTCTGTGAAAAGGTTTACGGGCAGAACAGGGTGCAGAATCACCAAATATAAGGCAAATAGTACTCTTAGCAGACATTCAACTACATCGCTACCATTCATTCACAAGTGTTATTCAGCCAAAGTCCGCATCTAAGCCGTCGAGTTGCAGGGGTGGTTTAAGGTTATCTCGGGTTCGGATTGATCCTGGTCTACGTTGCGGGGTTTCCACCCTCAACGCGCTTCAACCCTTTGAAGATAGCGGATGTTGAATTCTCTTTCGTCTAAGGACAGCCAATTTGAGGGAAGAAATGAATTGATGGCTAGCTAGATGGTGTGCGGCTAGTTTCCTCCACAGCTCATGCGCGCCCGCTGATCCCAACGAGCGAAAAGGGGCGGCGGAGTTTGATCCAATCACCACTTGAACGACCCAGGATGCAAGACCTCCATGTTATCAACAATCCCAAAGTCGCGAATGCCACCTCCAGGCGTGTAGATGCTCCCGTTGAAAGCAACCGCCGCCATGCCGTGGCGGGGCATGTTCATCGGCTGGAGCTTCTCCCAGCAGTCGCCGCGGATGTCGTACACCTCCGTCTCGTTGAAAACGAAGCCAGCCTCCGGATCCAGATTTCCTTCGCCGCCGAACGTGTAGATGCGCTGCCCGAGGATCGCCACGGAAACTCCTCCCCTGGGCGTGGGCATGCTTGCGCGCTCGCTCCACTCCAGCGTCTTGAGGTCGAGGACGTAGACCGTGTCGCGGACTGCGGTTTGGCTTCGGAAGCGACCTCCGACTACGTAGAAGCTGTTGCCGACGACGCCGCCACCGGCATGCTCGCGACCTTCGGGGAGATTGGGCAGAGTTTCCCATTCCTGAGTCTTGATGTTGTAGGATGATACGATGTCGACGGTCTCCTGGAGCCCATCGGCTCCCAGCTCGAGCAAACTGATGCCGCCGGCGACGATGATCTTGTCACCATACGCGCCAAGGATGGAGCTACCTCTCTCCGTACCCTCGGGCATTGATGGGAGCTCAGTCCACTTGTTGGTAACAGGGTCGTATTCGTAGCAGTTCGGAAGCGCCCGGAAGGCGGCGCCGCCGGAGAGCCCGCCGAGAACGTAGATCTTTCCGTTGGTAGAGATGGCGTTGGCGTGGTTCATGGGAATGGGCAGGGGAGCAACGAAGGACCACTCGTCCTTCGGGACGTTGTACTTCTCCACCGAGTCAATGGTTGAGACCCCGGTAGGCTGACTTGCATCAGGCTCGATTCCCGCGATGACGTAGATGTTTTCATCGAGAGCCACGGCGGCGTGTTCTTGACGTGGGCCCCCGACGAGTGGATTGAGAACTTCCCAGGTTTCGCTGGCGGAAGGGGTGCATCGTGAAGCCGGCGGTGCGGCTTCCGATTGTCCACTGAACAACTGCAGCAAGGCAAGAGAGAATGTAAGTTGTTTAAACATATTTGCATGCGAAAGAGGGGTTCGTGTTCGGTGTTGTTGGAGGTTATTGAGCTAGTTGGTGTAGTGTTGTGTGATGATGAACAAACAATAAAACACTTTCGACGCTGACGATATGCCTCTTCAATAGGAGTCACTGGCCATTCGAAAGTGCAACTTCTCCTGATGTCTATATTGCTAATACGAACGCCAAGGGAATGCCTGGCCTGTAAACTTTGATTGTCAACTACCCACGCCAACCCTTACGGTACGAAGGTGACAGCCAATATTGACAATTCTTCAACTTCGTGAAGCTCCGTATCATCAAGTCAGTGAAAGAGAAAACAAGACTAACGAAGCACTGCCTCTCGCGGCCCATGTGAATGACATGGCATTTCGGGTTCGGTCCGCCTCTATTCTTGGTGCTGCGCCCATTAGTAGCTGGAAATTCCGCGGAGAGAAGTCGTAACCAACACAATGGTAGTTTCTCGACGGGCTGTCAGGTCTCAACCAAGCATCACATACGTAAATGTGTTACGCACGTATTGCCATTGCCAGCGGAGTTAGGCTTCTCCAATGAAATCCAGCGCACTAGCCAAACTCAAGGCATCATCATGAATGGCCAGATTCTGATCATCATACTCTGTTGTACGGTCAAACCCATCCGAAATTATCCTGTGCAGCATCCTCGTTATAATTAGGGGTGTCCGCATTGATGTAGTTCACAGGCCAATCAACCAGCTCTTGCCACTTCGAAGTAAGCGATCTCAAGATGATGTTCATGAGATGACTTCCCCAATCTTTCATGAACCAGAAATGAAGACCCCCTTCGTGAAGAACAGTGCAGTAGTGTACGAGCACAACCAAAGCTGCTGGGTGCTGGGCTTCCAACAAGGCCATAAATCCACTGCTGAGGACCATTGGCCAAGACACAGCAACGTTCAACGCCGGAGTTGTCGCTGATGCTAGTCCGACGCTATCTCGCAACCCGGAAACTGCGCCCTCAACGAGACCTTTGACCTCGGTACTTACATCGGCTTGATCCATTTTATCAATAGCACCTGCGACGCTCCGTAGTAACGATCCCAGTAGCTTACTACCGCCGGAGTACCGGTCGCATTGCATGAAGTCCCTTAATATGCCATACCGCACGTTTTCCTTGGCTGAAGTCAGGACGCCGCTGACTCCTCGGATAAGGGTGAAAATCTCCAGGATGTGGCCCATCTCCAACTGAAGAGGGCTGTGTAATGCTGGGCTGGACGCGGCGAATGAACCGATGAACAACATTGATGATGCGGCAAACAGTGCGTGGCAATTCTGCGGAGTAACATTGGAAATCTCGGCGTAAACTCCGCGAATCGCGTGTTGTTGGTGTTGTAAGCCCAGTGAAAGATTTTCCTGTCGCTTCTGCGGCTCGAGGGTTGCAAGATGGAATGCGGAGACTGCGAGAATCTGATGCATGAGAAACGGATAGTCGGTAGCCACTTTGGGTACCTTATCTCTCCATGTATGAAGATTGGCGCCGGGTAAAGTAGCGGAGGTCACAGACGTAAAGTGGTTCATAAGCCCGAGGTCCGCCGTCCAACAAGACCACCGCTCGGATGCGGTTTCGGCGGCGGAGTCGGCCGTCAAAGAGGACGACGTTGTCAATGAGGCTCCGGAGGCGCCGCTGGACACCAGGGTTGGCGAGAAGCCCCGACGTTCCAGATCCGAACCCGAATGGCCTTGTGTCGTCGGCAAAACCCCATCAATGGCAGATGGGGCTAGGCTGCAGGAGATTTGCTGTCTAACGCAGGCGCCACATGGTTTCCTCTCATCGCACTGGAGCAGCATTGGCTCCCGAACTCTCGAATTTGAGTGGTTCACAGTTTATTTGACGTACCTTGACTTTCCTCTGCTTGCAGGTGGAGCAACCGTTTCGCGACTTCTTGTGTCCAAGTCTTACCATGTCGAGGAATTTAGCCGAGAAAGATGAACGAGAACGCAGATCCAAAGAAGATGATTGAGGTTCAATTTTGAAAGAGGTCCGCAAAAAGTAGGCTTGTGAATCCGAATCCGACCGGCCGTTCTTATATCAGATAGAGTTGCGGAGATTAGTTGAGATGAGCGGACTTTGCCAGCCACTCACAAGCCATCCCGCCTAGATAAAAGCATAGCCAGTCTGGGGCTACTAAGAGGAACAGGGGTATCCCAGAGGGACGCCCGCATCATTATTCAGCCATATCTTGGGCGGGATGTAAACACCAAGACATCAATATCGCCAAAGGCACGAGCATAGCCTCAATCTAGATACGAAGGATCCGCGGATGAAAAGTATTTACAGATTTTGTATACGAAATGAAATCTCCGGATTGCTACTGTTTAAGTAATGTTGAAAGAAATAAGAATCTCGAGGCATCACCTTTCCTTCGGCGTCAACCAGACTATCGCAACTCCAACTCGTCAACAGGAGGTTATAGTACTGTATTATTTGTATTTGAAAATCTTTTTTCCGTAATCTCTACTTAAAGCCATGGCTTCATCAACGCCGGATCCTGGAGAATTCGTCTTCTACCACTATGATCCGTCTCTTCCAGCAGCATGCGTATTCATCGCTCTATTCGGCATCTCGTTTGCCCTGCATGTTTTTCCAGATGTTCAAGTTCCGGGCCTGGTACCTTGTGTCATTTCTGATCGGCTGCTGCTGTGAGTCTGTTCTGCCCTCCGTTGTCTTTTGACTTTGCTGATATCTGGTGCCTTTCCTAGTTGAGATAGTAGGCTACATAGGTCGAGCGCTATCTGCAACTGAGACCCCGAATTGGACCACGACATCATATACCATTCAGAGCCTGACGCTTCTTCTCGGGCCCGCACTCCTCGCTGCATCCATCTACATGGTTTTGGGCCGTCTGATCCGGTTTCTGGAAGCCGAACATCTGGCTTTAATTCGCACGAAGTGGCTGACAAAGATCTTTGTCCTGGGCGATGTCATCTCATTCGTCACCCAAGGCGCAGGTTCGCTTCCTACACATTTTGAAGTGCGTTTGATCTTAGCTGACTTTTACAGGTGGCGCAATACTTTCCCGCGCCAAGTCGCTGAGTGATGTTGATCTCGGCGAGAACATCATCATCGCCGGCCTCGCCGTTCAGATTGCCTTTTTCGGGGTCTTCATCATCGTCATCTGCCTCTTCCATTACCGAATCAACAGATCGCCCACCGGCCCCTGCAACTCGGCCACACTTCGATGGAGACCCTTTATCTGGATCTTGTACGGAGCAAGCATCTTGATTATGGTTCGATCTGTGTTCAGAGTGGCCGAGTATGTCACAGGCAGCAACGGACCGCTGATGGCAAGCGAAGTCTATATCTATGTTTTCGACGCGGTCCTCATGTTCATGGTCGCTGCCATGTTCAACCTCTTCCACCCTGGGAAAATCATCCGGATGGACCATAAGTTGACAGCGATCTCTGAAAGTAGCATGAGTGTTTGTCTGCAAACCTTGCCCTAGTAAGGGATGACTCGTCGTTGGTCTGGAGACTGATAACTAAAGTAGGAATCAACAGCGCTGCTAGGCGAATTGTTGATGAGAGGTGTGTGGAGATTTCTCCTCTGTACTAGACTACTATTTGAGTCAGATTCAAGGAAAGAAAGACACATGGCACCGAATGAGAGGCTTGAGCTAAGGAGTCCTGCCCGTATGTAATGAGCTTTAGTAGGCAATGTGAGATCTAGAATATGCCACGAAATGAGTTGTTAGTATTTATTACATGTCCATGGCATAGGGCTTTGACGTATTGGTTAGCAAAAACAGCCTAATGAAACAAGATCAAGTAATACCTGTCAATCGGGAAAATCTTGACAAGAGACGATCTTACAAGATTGAAGTTGAAACGCTCGATTTTCAGAACATTCAAGGGGCACATTGTGCGACATCCAGGCTTGTTTTGCTCTTTCGAAGCGGGATCAAGGACTTAAGTCGATCCTGCGTGTTCGAGCCTTGCACACGATTGGCGATTATAGACAAGAAAGGGGTATGGCATCCTTGTGTTTTGAAGCCAGGGACACCCTTCAGTTCCTAGATAGCTTCCTGGTTATGTTTGCTTTTGCAACGCACTCGGGCATAAGACACAACTTTTAGGAATGGCCATATTGGTTTTCTCAACATACGATCCGTTCCTATGGGCAGATCATTTAGTTGAATGGCTTCGGCAAAGTTGGCTTGGAGCAACCTGGAGAGAGTCACGCACATGACCTAGCCTACTCATAGCACACAAAAGTGTGGAAAAAAGGTCAGAACAGAAGAAGAAAATCCAAATATACTGAGGAAGACTGATACTTGGATTCATGTATGCGATAGCAAGCGATCACCGATGAAGTTGGTACGACAATCCTTCGACAGGACAGCAACCCTCGGAGTTTTGTTGAGGAAATTTTGGCCCTCGTCGGGGGTTTCGCAGCAGGGGAAACGCTCGGAGTCTTATGTGAGATGAACTGTCAGTATCCGAAGCCAATCATAGTTTTCATGAACGAAATTGATCTTCGACTATCCTGGAAATGTTTCATTGAGACTGCTTTGGTATACAAGTTCTACCCGGAAACATGTTGATATGTAACCCCCCAATTTCTGGTTACATCTTTTACACGAGACCTTTGAAGACGTTACATTCAATCTATATAACAGTGTGATTTGCTAGACTTTTCAAGCTCATCATGAAGCTTGATTGGGGGACTTGATCAAAGAAGCCTTGAGAACGAAATAGTGGTATGCTCAGCCATGAGTCAGTTAGAACTCCAGAGACTGCGTTGAGATTCCTCTTTTGCCCTGTAACTGTTGCGCTGCAAGTTTCTGGAACACGCGCTAATCTCTCTGAGGACACTAAAACCAACTTCCCCAGAGAATAGAGTTGTCTCTTATGAGACCTGCGCCACTTGTAATAAGGGAGCCCGCCGGCCGCCCGCACGTTTGAAGGCCGGGCGGCGCGTGACCCCACACGGACTTTACGCCGTTTTCCGCTGCCCGTTGACCGCAAGGCACGAATGGCGGTATGTCCGCCAGCGGTGAGTAGGTTCGGACAATTATCAGATCTCAACTCTTTACTTGAAACCAGGGTAGTCACTGTTGGTAATAGATCATGGGGTAGGATGCCGGAGTTCAGCCTTGGTGTTACGCGTTCTAGAATGCTTCAAACTCTATTTCCGCTGAAACCGCCAGTACGGCGGTAGGTATGCACCATTTGAAAGAGTTGCAGGAGCCCTACCAGACACACCGGACGCAAATTTTGCAGATGGCGAGTAATGAATGTATCGGATGAGTTCCACTTCGGCATAGTGCTCCCACCTTCGGTCACTTATGCCGAGCCAAAATAGGTTGCATCAGATGAACCGGCGCCCGTCCACAGCCCCTGGTCCTTGAATCCGATACGGAGTGTGTGGAATGCTGGTACGTAGAGCAAGTTTACGTGGAACATAGCTTCGCAGAGGATAAAGGAAAGCAAATAATATATAAAGCGCAGACATTTCAGTAATCCGAAATATGTTGCTGCCCATCTTCATTACAATAGCTTAACTGACTACAAGCACCTGACCCAATTCTTTCTTTTTAATCCTCCGAAGAAACATTTTGCAACAGAGATCTCCAGAAATCAAAAATGTTGTTCAAGTCTGCCATCGCCGTCGCCACTCTCTTGCAGTTCGCGCTCCCCGCATCAGCAGCATTCATTTTCTGCGCGGGAGCTCCCGCCGATGGTAGCTGCCCAGCTGATAAGGGAACTAAGTCTAAGGTTGGTTAATCGATAGATCTCTCCATGCGAAACCCATCAGGCCTGTGCTAACTCGTATATTCATAGTGCCAGGATGTTTGCGGCAACTGCCAGCCCAGGTGCTTCGGAGGCGGTGTGAAAGATCTGGGCGCAACATGCTGCACTCAGTCTGATGGAACCATCAACATCTTCTGCTTCAGAACAGGAAAGAACACCTGCTAGTGTAAGATACGATGAAAGGCGGTAAATGGTTATGAGATAAAAGAGCAAATAAATCACGCCGTAAGCAGCGCTTGCGGTTTTTCTTCAGCGCAGTTTTTATAGCTCACATGCATTCATGTTTGAAGCCTGCTATTCACTAGTGACCAAAACCACCATGCGAATTAACCTGACCAGGCCGACATTTGGGGAGCATATCCCAAGGGATATGAATAGTATTGCAACTTCGCATGTCTATCTGCAATAGTAGGTGGCTTCACACACGTATTGAGAAAAGCCGGGATTCGAGCCCTCAGTTGGGGAAAGCGGGGTGCACAAGCAAAGACGGGGAAATCGGCACGATGCAGAGGACCACTACCGCAGGTTAGTTAAGTCCATTGCCAGGGTTTGGTTCAGCATTTCCTTTTCTGGCCTGAACTGAGGCCTTCCGGCTGCTTCCCCGCGACTTGCTCCGCCGAAGCCATGATCGCCGCGGGCTGCTGCTCGCTTGCAAATAGCACGACAACCGACAATCCACGGACAAATCACTCGCGATGTTGCATCAACAAACCAGCAGTGCTTCTATGCAGTCATATAATATGAAGTTCACCCTTACTATGCAGGTTACCCGTCGTCGCATCTAGATCACCAGAAGACGGGGGGATCTCAACCGCCCCAGGCCCCTCGCAAATCTTCTACCAAGATGCTTTTGTATCATGGGACATGGCAATTCTTTGCCGTCATCGCCTTCTTTGCGCCTGGCTCATCAGCAGAATGCTGGAGAACGACTACCTGCGATGGACCAGACTCGGCAGCATTCCCGGGAGATTGGGACAAGTACAATTATGCCCCCAGCTCTCGCAATGTAACGCCCAAGTTCATTCTTTCCCTTCCTTCCGGCGAAAAGATATCAGATTTCAATTCCTCAGTTGCGCTTTCACCGGACAGCAAAGGATTGGTGTTTGACTTTGGCATCGAAGTCGGCGGCATAGTTACCGTTGACTACGAGCTCTCTGGGTCTAGCAACGCTACTCTTGGACTCGCCTTCACGGAGGCCAAGGACTATATCGGTCAAAAGTCGGACAACTCCAACGGCGGAACTGGCCAGGATGGTGCCCTCACTCACAACATCACATCCGAAGGGCCTGGGACCTACGTCATGCCCGATGCCAAACTGCGCGGCGGCTTTCGCTACCTCACTGTATTTGTCACAGATACTCAGTCGAACGTAACGTTGGATATCCGCAACATAAGTCTTGAGATCAGCTTCCAGCCAACCTGGTCGGATCTGAGGGCATACCAGGGGTACTTTCGTTCCAGCGAGGACCTGCTGAACAAGATCTGGTACAGCGGCGCATACACACTGCAGACAAATTCTGTTCCCGGAAAGACGGGACGTGTAGGCACGAGCACCTTGAAGTCTGGGTGGCAGAATGACGCATATATCGGCCCAGGAAACACAGTTCTTCTCGATGGAGCAAAACGAGATCGCTGGGTTTGGATTGGTGATGTGGGAACCGCAGTGCCAAGTGCTTTTGTGAGCACTGGCGACATGGAAAGTACCAAGAATGCATTGCATGCGATTTACGACAATCAAGTTGGTACTGTCATCCTGTTCAGAACCACTATCTGACATTTGAAAGGGATCAGATGGTACTTTACCCAAAGCCGGACCCCCGTATCCTTCGAAAGATAGCGATAGTAAGTCACTACTCACGTCCGAAATAGTATTGATAGTTCAAGGTTGACGCCACATAACTAGCGTATCATCTTTGGGCCCTCGTCGGCACGTACAACTACTTTTTGTACACTGGGGATGAAGAGTTCATGACTTCCATTTGGGCCAAGTATCTGAAAGCCATTGCCAACAGCAGGGCGAAAGTCAACTCCAAAGGTATAATGGCTGTTACCGGAGAGAAGGACTGGGGGCGTTGGACGTATTCGAATGAGCGAAGCTCAGCAAGTATGCTGTGAGTAAACGTCTCGTTCGCAAACATACCGGCCATGCTAACGGACTCAGCTTGTACCGGGCGCTGAAGACTAGAGCCGACATCGCGTCATGGGCACCTGAGCTCACCAATGCGTCCACTTCCAAACAAGAATGGCTCGATGCTGCAGCGACGCTCCAGGGGGCCATTATGGCAAATTTGTGGGATAGTGACAAAGGCGCTTTCAAGGAAAGCCCCAACGACACATCTCTATACCCTCAAGATGCAAACAGCATGGCCGTTGCCTTCGGCGTCGTGTCAGCTAACAGCACCGAGGCATCACAAATATCGGACTATCTCGAGTCGAATTGGACGCCTATTGGGCCTCGCTGCCCTGAACTCACAAACAACATTTCTCCATTCATCTCCAGCATTGAGCTTTCAACTCATTTCCGCGCTGGCCGAGCTGATCGGGCTCTGAGTCTGATCAGGGATGCATGGGGTTGGTACTTGAACCATCCCAACGGCACTCAATCTACCGTTCCGGAGGGCTATCTGGTGAACGGTACATGGGGCTACCGAGGAGACCGAGGTTATAGGAATGATCCTACATACATGTCTCATGCCCATGGATGGAGCAGCGGGCTGACATCGACCATGACTGAGTACCTTGTCGGCTTGAGAGTCATCAAGCCAGGGGGCAGCGAATGGCAGCTGAAGCCCGTGCTGAGTG